ACAGGCATTAAATTTACAATACAGACAAAAAACTGTGTATTGATATACAAATTATAGGTGAAGCGCATAAATAATTATGAAAGATATCAAAAAATATAAACTACTAATTGCCGAGTAACTGAGCTGTCGTATAAAATATAAAATTGCAGCTAAAAGGAGTTTCGCAAACTGAATTGCAGGAAAAAGCAGATTAGTCTCAAACTGAAAATGTTTTTTATACATACGTTTATGACTTTTACATAAATACATACATACATGTAGCGTTAGCTTATACAAATATGCATTATGTATTACTACAACAAATTATGGCAATGAAAAACTAGAGTGTGAAAACTAGACTACAACAACAACTATGATTACAACTTAAACTTAGCTGAAAACTAACGGCATTAAACGAGTAGAAATGTCGGTGGCACATAGCGAATATTTGACCACACATACACATAGAGGCATAAACTTATACGAGTATAATACATAAAGTAATCAACAAATGTTTGCCGGGTATTCGGTGTCGAGTGAGAAGGTATGTCCATTGAAATAAGTGCTTGATATGGCAGGAAAGTTGAGAATGCTAAATTGCAAAAGCGATAAAGAAAGTGGAGCTAAAATGTATACTTTTTCGCATAACAATTACATGATCGCAGGTTTTAAAGTCAGAAATTTTTTTTTTCACTTTGCCATTTTTTAATTTTTGGAAAAAATAAATCTTAAATTTAAAATTAAACCAATTTTTACTCTCCACCCTCTCACTCACAAAAAAAAATCCAAAATTTCAGTACACAACTCAATGTAGTGAATGCCGCTATTAAAATTTTAATATAATAGTGTTCCATATTAACTTTTACAAAGAGACATTAATCATAAATATGTACTATTACAAGTATTTTCTGAAACACATGTGGCCAAAATTAAGCAAAATGAAATAAAAAAGCAATTATACTCATTGTCAAAGTGCTGCGCAAATATAAAAAGTTGGTAAAAGACGCGAAATTATGAATATACATATATTAAAAGTTTAAGCAAAAAAAAAAAAGGCAGACAGCAGTCAATATATAAATACAAACACATAAAAGGCTATACACACATAATAAATTTTTTTTTTTGTTTGTTTCTTGAAAAATGCATGCAAATGATATTAAGTGACTCACCGAAAACACGAATCAAAATCCATACCATGCAAACAATTAAATACATAAAATTGCTGGTTAAAGTTGTGTTTTATAGTGTTTTTAAAATTCTACAAATGCAACAACAAATTGCTAATAAAAAAAATAAAATCTTATTAAGACCTTTGAAACACAAAAATTCGTCACAACAAATTGCTAACGAAAAATTAAAAAAATATTATTAAATTGTTTACACACAAAATTTCGCATTTATTTAAAGTATTAAATTTCTTATACATATTTCAGAAAATTTCGTTTGAGAGAACATTCTAAGAAATCCCTGCTCAATAGCCATTTTACTATGTTTATGTATTATTAATACAAACATATGTATGTATATTAAGCCGCAGTTCCACAATTTTTTAGCTGTACGATTTTATTATTATTATTACTATTATTATTATAAATACTATAATTTATTTTTATTATTATTGTTATTCTAAAATACTTTATTTACTTATATAGAAAAGTACTTTATATAATATAATGTGCAATATCAGTCAGTGACAAAAACACAGTTTAACGAATTTTTGAGTTTCTTGTTGTTTTAAGTAATTATTAATATTAGTTTTTTATAAACTTGTTTAAGCAAGTAACTGCCACAGCGATAAAGTATTGAATTGAAAGGCATATAAACCTACTAAAAGCAGTGAATTTGGGATGTATTTATAAATTTAGCGCAAAAGTAGTATTATAAGCGAAACTTTTGTGAAAAGTATAAAGCGGCGAGGTCAAC